GTGTTTGCAAGCGGTTATATCTAGCAGTTTGGATGGTAATATGACAACTCACTCGACACAGCTAAGGCCGGTGCATAATATAGTTGGGGTAAAGTTGTCTCTCTCACGGATGGATGGATGGATGGGTGGATGCAGGTCAAGCGTGACTGATGGATCAACACGCTCAGGGATGCCAGGAAATGAGGTTATTACGGGATATATTTTTCAGCGTTGGGGAGAGAGGGGGGGGGGCGGGGATGTTGGGGTTGAGGGTGGGGGTTGTTGTTGGGGCTGGGGTGGGGGGGGGCCCTGGGGTGTTGGGGCCCCTCCCTCCCCTTAACTTAAAATTTCCCCTTAACTAAACCAATCACATCAGCCATGCGCCTCTAGACCCAACTCAGTATATTATATAATATCAACTCATCCCTTATACTCCCTTATGTATTAGGATTGGGAACTCCAAACGGCTTAGCCAGTCTTCATAGCTCTGGTCCTTTATGTCTAGCTCCAGGTTCGTGGCACGTGTCTGGACTTTCACTTGTCTTGTGCTTCAAATGGTGGTAGTGGTGGCGGTGGTGGGGAGGGAGTTCTGGTCATAGGCTGTGTAGTGGGTACTGAATGTGCGTTCGTATGTGTGTGTGTGTGGTGTGTGTGTGTGTGTGTTTAGTTTGAAAACCCGTTCGATTTTTTTTTTACCGGCGTTGCATACGCTGCTGCCGCCGATCTGTTTACATGTACCTTGGGTGCAAAAACTGTAATGTCGACGCTAGATTCCTTCCGCTTTTTCGATTCCTGAAACTGTGTTTCTCTCTTTCTTTGTTTCACTCCCTTCTGGGGTCCATGTCCCCCCCTCTTCACTCTGGCGAGAGCTTAGATACGCCCTGGAATACGCTTACGCTGCTGCTCTTTACAAACCTGTTTCTCCAACTCCTTGGGACGAGGGAATTATCCGCGCAAAGCGCCAAGCCATTATGACTGTAGAGCACTTGGAAGGGGTCAGGATAAGGATTTAGGATGTGACGGACGGGAAGGAATGGCGCCCAACCATTTGTGGACGGTCGGGGATTGAACGCCGACCTGCATGAAACGAGACCGTCGCTCTACCGTCCAGCCCAAGTCTTGGGCTGGACGGTCTTCTCGCCGTCTTACACATTGGCGTTCAATCCCCGACTGTCCACAAGTGGTTGGGCACCATTCCTTTCTTCCGTCCCGTCCCAAATAATTTTCCTTTCCAACTTTTATCGAGTCGTAATGGCTTAGTGCTTTCCCCAGATAATTACCTTACCTCATACGCTTCTCTCTTGACATGAATGCACTGTAACTCCTTCCTTCCTTCCTTCCTTCTTTCATTCCTTCCTTCCTATCTCCTTATTCTTATCCCTACTGTTCTACGCTTATCGTTCCAGTGTGTTCACATGCGAGTTCATCCTGGTCTTCTTCTCTACATGTTCCGTCACCCAGTTCGTCATGTTCAACACCGTGTTTATATCCTGGTGCGGGGGGGGGGGGGGGTAGGCCTTGGTGGGTCGTGGTGGCCCCTGGTCCGGGGGCGTCACCGGCTGGAAGTGCCATTCAACCGGTTCCCGTCCCTTCAGTTGACCACCTGGCCTCTGGCGCCCAGTGGGTCCTCGTATTCTGTCCTCTCAATGGTCGCCATATTCTGGGAGAAAACCAGGTCCAGTGTGTGTGTGTGTGTGTGTGTGTGTGTGTGTGTGTGTGTGTGTGTGTGTGTGTGTGTGTGTGTGTGTGTGTGTGTGTGTGTGTGTGTGTGTACTCACCTAGTTGTACTCACCTAGTTGTGTTTGAGGGGGTTGAGCTCTGGCTCTTTGGTCCCGCCTCTCAACCGTCAATCAACAGGTGTACAGATTCCTGTGTGTGTGTGTGTGTGTGTGTGTGTGTGTGTGTGTGTGTGTGTGTGTGTGTGTGTGTGTGTGGAGTGGTGTGGGGGTGGGGTTGCTCACCTAGTTGTTCTTGCAACTCCCTTGCATTGACTTAGATATAAAATAAATATTTTTGTTCATTGACAATAAAATCAGATCCAATTTTAGCTTTCATTCAAACCTTTCTCCTTGGATCCATCTCTTCCTCCCTTACACCCTCCCTACCTCCCTCCCTCTCTCTCTCTCTCTCTCTCTCTCTCTCTCTCTCTCTCTCTCTCTCTCTCTCCCCAGGTCACATAAACACCCCCAGCTTAGGGCCCCCTAACGGATGTCTTCTCTGAATCTAACTTGGAAAGTGTGTTCACACAGTGATGTGTTGGTGAAAACAACCCTATGGGAAAAGAGTTGAAACCCCTCACCTACTTACCTGTCTCCACCTCACTCCCTCATTCTTGACTCTCACCCTCTCCCTCCCTCTCTCTCTCCCCTCACTCGGAATACTAATAAAGTCAATTGTTTGTTTGGTATTCCTATTTGGCTATATATAGAGGGGGGGGGGGAACGTAAACACATCAAACTTGTATAAAAGAATATAAGTGAGTAAACAACAAATGGTCAATTTCTACGAATCGAATCCTTAGTATAGACCCCTGGCACTGACCCCTTACCCCTGGTATAGACCCTTGGCACTGACCCCTTACCCCTAGTATAGACCCTTGGCACTAGCCCCTTACCCCTAGTATAGACCCCTGGCACTGACCCCTTACCCCTGGTATAGACCCTTGGCACTGACCCCTTACCCCTAGTATAGACCCTTGGCACTAGCCTCTTACCCCTAGTACAGACCCCTGGCACTGACCCCTTACCCCTAGTAGAGACCCCTGGCACTGACCCCTTACCCCTAGTATAGACCCTTGGCACTGACCCCTTACCCCTGGTATAGACCCCTGGCACTGACCCTTACCCCTGGTATAGACCCCTGGCACTGACCCCTTACCCCCCTGGTATAGACCCTTGGCACTGACCCCTTACCCCTAGTATAGACCCTTGGCACTAGCCCCTTACCCCTAGTATAGACCCTTGGCACTGGCCCCTTACCCCTAGTATAGACCCTTGGCACTGACCCCTTACCCCCTAGTATAGACCCTTGGCACTGACCCCTTACCCCTAGTATAGACCCCTGGCACTGACCCCTTACCCCCTAGTATAGACCCTTGGCACTGACCCCTTACCCCTAGTATAGACCCCTGGCACTGACCCCTTACCCCTAGTATAGACCCCTGGCACTGACCCCTTACCCCTAGTATAGACCCCTGGCACTGGCAAATTTGAACAAAAAGGAGGAGGGAAAGAGCTACGAAGTGGAGAGTAGAGAACAAGGCAAAGACTGCAGGAAGAGGAAGATGAAAAGAGGGGATAGAGAGAGAGGGAGTGTGAGAGAGAGAGGGAGTGTAAGGGAGAGGGAGTGTGATGGAGAGGGAGTGTGAGGGAGAGGGAGTGTGAGGGAGAGGAGAAGCTTGAAGAGACGTTGATCAAATAATATTCCCCCGATGCAGCATCCAGAGCACAGCTATCGCCGCCTTAAAACAATATTTAAGATACCTTTAGATCACATCTTGAAATCACGGCTCGACTCTCCATCAGGAAGTATCACGCCGGCCGTGTGTGTAGGTGTGTGACTCAACACGACCACAAAATCCATTCCTAGAGCATGAAATACTTAGTCTGTCTCCTATCCTCTGGCCATAGAGGGGGGATTTTCGAACCGTATTTAACTGCCTTAGTGCTTTTTGGAACACGTCCTCCAAATCTTCATGAAAAGGGTATATATCCCCCCACCCCCAAAAGAGGAGCGGAGTTCGGAAGGGAGACGATTATGGAAGGGAAAAAGAGAGAAGATTATTTAGGAGAAAGTGAGAAGAGAGAGAAGGAGGAGGTTGATACTGTCCGTGGTGGACTGCCGGATATAGTCTACTGGGAGCTGATATATGTGTTGTGTTGTGATGTGTTGTGTTGTGTTGTGTTCCTGGACATTGATGGTGAGGCACCATACACCTCATCACCTCACTATCAACTCATCATCACCACATCATCACCCATCTATCCCTCCGCTAT